ATCAGAGTATTGAGCACTCTCACTGGTGGAAAGGGGCGCTGTGCTTGGGTAGAACACCTCAATCTGAAGAAGGAATGAGCTCAAGTTCAATCCAAGAATTCAAATCAAACCCTGTAGAGATTGTGAAAAAAAACACAAGAAGCTCTGAAACTATAAAGAATGAAAAAATTAATCAAGATATTGAGAATCAGCTAACAGGCATAAATTTAAACAAACCCAAAATCAATCAGTCTCAAAAAACCTATATTGCACAGATACCAAAGAAGAATGAGGAGGAGTTCAGAGCTGTGAAATCAAGTGTGGTTGATGGGTCACCATCAACTCTTGAGGAAATGCATTATACAAATAGTGATTCATTGGGTGTATCATTATCAAGAAAGTTGAGAAATGGAATGAGATGGGGAAATTCATCTCAAGGAGAGGAGAAAGAACCATATCATTTGAAAAAATTGAATCCCAAACATTCTACCATTTTCAAATCCACAAATTCTTTTGTAAATAAGAGAATGTCAACATTGTCCAAGGAGATGAATCAAACCTATCATCCAGTTCCATTGGGTCTAGAATCTCAATTCAAAAAACCAAAGGAAGGGATTGAGATTATTTCATCAGAAAAACAACAAACAACCTATCCAAAGAAATCATTTGAACAGGCATGTGTTACTGGGAACATATCAATGCCAAATTATGAAAAACAGTCTGATTTCCAGGTGGTGGATCCAAAACAAAGTATTTCTGAACCCAAATTGGATATTTTAAATCATATTCAGAGCTCCAACACACAGCCCGAAATTCCAGAGGTTATTGAACCCAAGATAGAAAAACCCTTATCCAAACATTTTAAATTTCCACTCAATTCCAACAAAATACAAAAGAACAAACAATCAGAGCTGAAAACTTTAAATTTTGATAAAGATATACTTGTTGCTAAAGACCCATTTAAAGGTGCTCAAAGAGGAATTTCTGCAATATTCAAATCAATTCCAATTGGGCCGACAGGAAGTATTATGTTGAATTCAGACAATGCATCTTTTTGGCTCAGTGAGATCAAAAAAGCTTATAACATTAGGGATTCATCTGATATTACTGAAAGTGGAATTTTTTCTAGGGGAGAAGTTGCATTCGAATGGAAAAGAGCAGATCTTACTGAATTCTTGGAAAATAGCAATCTATGGGTAAAATTTTGGGAACAACAGACCAATATCAACTTGATGGCAGAAATTGAAGGGCAACAGTTACAATCAGAAAATTTAAGCCTAATGCTACCATTATTCTTATTTTATGTTCACATGATTGATACAATATTTGTTTCCCTCTCATCTTCTGAGAAGAAGAAGGAGAACCTCTCTATCCTTTTCACAGGTGCAATAGAGAGTTTCAAAAAATCAGCAAGTACCACACCTGAAAGAGTCTTATCAAATCTAAGTTTGGCTAATACAATGCCTAGCTTTTTGTGGAAATTATTGTTCAACTGGATTCAATGTTCAGGAAGTGATGAGCTCAAAAAGACTGCCTTTGTAAATAACAAATCTGGAATTCAGATGAATGCCAAATTTAAGATGTTTTTCAACTCAGTTTTCAGATGCTCAATTCAACAATTGAATGATAAATTGAAGGATGCTATCAAATTTGAATTTAGGAATTTGTATTTTGACAAGCAGATTCTTTCTTCTGTAGATTCAAGCAAAGAATTCAATGATAGTATCAATAAGATCCTCCAAAATATTGAGGTATCTCTGAAAACAGGAAGCATCATGTTGACTTTTGAGAATTATACACTAATTTTTACTGAGTTCAATAGATTCTCTTCCATCCCCAATAGAGCCACAGGAGAAAACTCAAGGAAAAATGTTCCACGGGAATTGCAATCCAAAAGTATCAATGAATTCTTGAAGCATAGAAACCTATGGTTCATATTTTGGCAAAGACAAACAAACATCAACTTTGATGAAGAGCTGAAAGATGTGCCACATTTATCTGGAAATACAAAGAAAATCTTGGTGTTGTTTCTCTTTTATGTTCAAATGATTGATATTACAATCAACCCCCATGAATCTATGGAGTTAAAGAATAAGAAAGCTCGATTTCTGTTTGAAAATGCGCTAGAAAGCTTCAAGAAGTCTGGAATTCTTTCCTCAATTGAGAAATCCACAAGGAGGCTAAAAATATTTTCCTCATTGATTTGGAAGTTCTTGGAACATTGGATTGTGCATTCAGGAAACAGTGAGATGAGAAATTTGGCATTTGGGGAAGGTCAAAATATACATCAAAACTTCAAAACTTTCTTCAATATAGTTTTTAGATCATCATATAGGCATTTTGACAAAAAGATGAATGATAGTTTGAAATCAGATTGAGAATAGCAGATTTCTGATGATCATCTCCTTTATTTTAATTTTTCCATGTTTAGCTGTGGTTTTACACAGCAACAATGTTGAAACTGCTGCACAAAAACAAAGTTTTTGAATCAAATTTTTAGGGTGCAATTTTTTATTATTCTGGACATACTGTTTTTTTCCCTACACTTTCAATGGTTCAGAAAATGATAATAGTGATTTTACATGAAAACCCTTCCTTTTTATTTTTATTTTTCAACACACAATTTTCATTTAATTCATTAACCCCCACTTCTGGGGCTTATTAAATAGTATTCTTGACATTTCAATTCTTTTTCCTACACTTTCAATGGTGCAGAATTTCATAGTGGTATTCATTTGTCATAGAAACCCTTCCTTTGTTGCTTTGTTTTTCCATACACAGTTTTTCTCATTTAAATATAAAAGTGTAAAGAATCTTTTTGAATACACTCAAAAGTCTAAAAACTAGCTCCTTGATAAAATGTTTCCCACATAGAACAGGACTGGATGAGATTCTGACTGTTTGATAGTGACCTATCTACCTATTTCTTACTTTTCTTTTTACCAACTATTTCTCCTATATTGTAGGGTTTTCTTTCTCCCTGTAACAATGAAAACCAATCCTTTTCTTTCTTTTCATGAGACCCTGCACCCTTGCCGATGAGACAAACCCCTTCATTAGGGGGTATCAGATATAGGAAATTCACCATTCAAAACCAGTCACTTGTCTCAATTTTTTTTTTTTTGCATCAATGGGCCCCAAAAGGGGTTAAATGAATAACCAAAATATTTAAAAAAGAGTGAATTTTTTCAAACCAGTCAATTAAATAATGATGGATTTGTTTATATTTAATACCCCCTATTGCATGGAAACCCTCAGAAACTGCATGTAAGGAAAAAACAAGGAGCCATTTTTTTCAGGTATTTGAGTGTTTCCATAAGATTATTTACATCTTTTTATGTAGGAACCAACCCAATAATTTTTGATAACCCCCAGAAAAAGCAGGTAATGAAATAAGGTAAAGAATGTCTGTGGAAAATGTGCAAACACGGAAAACCACAAACCACGTTTGCTCCACAGTTGCTGGGCCTTGAAGAATTGTGTCCAAACACACAAAACCCCCGTTTTTATCAAGGCACTTTGATTTTTTATTTTTTACAATTTCATTTTGAAATTTTTGTTCAAAAAGACTCTGTTGAAATTAAGGTGGAGAAAGGGAATTCAGCAACACCAAAAACAGACAAGATATGATAGATGCTATTTAGACTTGAGAAAGCGGGCTAAAGTGCACTTTGTTTAAGGCTGAGAGGAGGCTTAAGGGTCAACTCAGGACCAGTTTTAATAGCTAAGACTGATGATTTAATACCCTAGCATCTAGAGATCTTTAAGTAGTCTAGATAAATGATTGATCAACTTGTGGAACAAATTGATTCATAATGAATAAGAAAAAAAAATCATAATCAATAAACAGAAAGGAATGAAAGGTTTGTGAAAAGAAAGAGAAGGGAGATCAAGAACAAGTGAAATTCTGAGATTTAAACAGAAGGAAATGCAAGCAGTGTCAGTGGGCTGTGCAGCCAAGTTTCAGGCCCCATAGCACAAAGACCTTGAAACTTTCCACTTCAATATGAGGGGCACTGTTGGGGGTTATCCAACCTATTTACCCTCACCAAGCTGGAATAGATGATGCCAGTTTGGAGACAAGAATGGATCCAGTGTATCAAAGAACTGGAAAGAAATGTTATGCATGGTGGGACACACCCACAACCTCAGCATTCATAAGTGATGCTCCAATCTATGAGCTCAGCGTACATTTCTAATGCCAAATACATGTGCCAGCTTGTTGAGCAGGGGACATGCAACACCCTTATATTATAGCTAAGGGGGGCCGGGTGGGGATAGGCTGATCCAGAGTGTCCTCAAATAAGCCCAGCCATAGGGGATGGGATGGGAAGGCTATATCACACAGCTTCATGAGCTCACAAATCCCCCATCATAAAACGAGCAGATGTTGTCAGCATTGTGAGTCAGAGCTTGGATCAAGTGTGGTCGACAACACTCCAGCTTGGGACTCTCCTTGAGTGCCATCATGACCAGAAACCTCATCCCACTGGGGAGGCTAGAGATCAGTGGATGAGAGTCTTGCAACGGTCTTTTCCAGACCGAAACCCAAAAAATATTAACAAGTCTTGTGCAGGTCAGCAACATTAATTAACACTGTACAGTGGGTAGACAGTGAAAAGTGGCTGCTTATTTTGGGATCCAGAGCTCTGAAAGATAAACTTGAAGTCATGAGACTTGGGGGCAGGCGGTGCATAATAGGTCCCAAAAAATGAATATGAAATAATAAAAGCAAACAATCAAGTTTGAAAATTTGTGAAAAATGAAAAAAAAAAAAAAATCAATTTTTTTTTTTCAAAAGCTAATTTGAAGATATTCATTTTGGGGGAGTGGGAGTGCTGGGAGAAAGAAAGAATGGAACGTGCAGGGAAGAATGATTATAAATGAAAAAAAAAAAAATTTGGAACCGAAAAAGGTTTGGCCCGGTTGGTTGTCCAGATGGGAGCCGAAACAGTACATTCTAGTGCTTTGCTGCAATGTGGGCTGGTGAAAGGCCCACTCAACAGCTGTTTGAAGCCATCTGAAAACCAGCTTTTCCAAAATCTTCATTCATGTATAATCAATCTTCTTCTTATTTCCCAATCTTTCTTTCTCTCAGCACTCCCACTCACTCTCCCAAAATGAATATCAAAGCTTTTGAAAAAAAAAAAAAATCAATTTTATTTTTTATTTTTCACACATTTTCAAACTTTATTTTTTGCTTTTATTATTTCATGTTCATTTTTTGGGACCTATTATGCACCGCCTGCCCAAGTCTCATGATTTCAAATTGGTTTTTTGGAGCTCTGGAATCCAAAATCAGCGGCCACTTTTCACTGTCTATGCACTGTACACTACATATTGAGCACCCATTGGCCCTCTCTTCAATCCCCTCCCGTCCATGTAAGTATTTGTGTTGAGCTGCGATACATGGCTCAAATCCATCCCACTACAATGATTTGGTTTGGTTTCTTCTGTTAATGGCACACTTATTCTGTCGGGGGCCTGTCCATCACCATGGGTGACTGTGTTAATATTGGTGTCCCCACCCGGCCACTATGTACCACCTATAAGAAAAGAAACAACGTAAGAGCAAAGTTCGTGGTGAACTAAAGATACATGCATACACAGACATGGAAAAAAAAGGAGCAAAAAAAAAACATTCATGCACGTAGATCTTGCCTGGAATAAACAGACACACAAAGAGAAAAGAAAGATGCTGGGCAAGGGGGAGTGGAACGATCGGACATAGATCAGATGATCTGCAAGTTCATAAGAGCCGTCCTTCAAAAACAAAAAAAGCCGGGAAAAGAAGGCCAGGGAAGATGAGAAATGGGATTCAGAGACCCTAGGATAATGGTGAATGACGAGAAGGGTTTGGAGCCGAGGAGTGGTTTGAGTTTCGAAGACCAGAGTCCTAGTCCATCTGGCAGAAGATAAGAAGAAAGAAGGTTAGAGGAGAGGGGTTTGGTTGAGGATCTGTTGATGCAAATGGTTAGCCCAAACGAGTCTATCCTTCTTGCTCTGCTGGGCCCCCCGATCCGGAGTCTTGCCGCCATCGACAGTCTGTTTTACTGCGCCAGTTTCTGGGGCTTCTGGAGCCCCGTTTTCGTCCTCTTCTGCTGCACATCCGACGCCAGATGCTTGCGATTCATAGATCTCTGGGAGAAAAAAAAGTGGGATGTATCATCAATGGAAGTGAGTGTTAAGCAGAAGGAAAAAAAAGAATACGAGAAGGAGACGGGGGAGAGGATCCACTGACCGACCAGTTTCCTACCCACACATAACCCCAGACTAGAGTTCCCAACGACCACCTGTTGTTGTTGCTGTTGCTGCGGAATGAGTTGCAAGTTCTCGAACCCGGGTCGAGACTGAAGCGGGCCCACTCCTTGTGGTTGTTGTTGTTGTTGTTGATGAGGGAGAAGAAGAAGATGGTTGGAGACAAAGCCTTGGGAGAGCTTGTAACACGATTTCAACATCTTCGTGGCTTGGTCGCTCCGGGTATTCAAGAACATCGTCGACAACAAGCCTAACAAGATCATCTTGAGATGCGTGTTCGAGGTCTTGTTTGCTTCATTTAATGCACTCGTTAGATGATGTCTAAACATGATCCACAATAACAACAACAACCAATGTCCAAAAAAAAAAGAAAAAGGTCAGTAAAAGAGAGAGGTTTGATTTTGAAGGAATTGGATGAGGATGGAAGAACTGAACTTGGCCTTCACGATTTCTCCACAACTGATAGCCAAGACGACATGAATAGCCATGGAAAGGTGAGGGAGGGCGAGTTTGAGGGTTGAGGCCAACTCGGCGATGATGCGATCGACGGCGAAGGATCTAGAGAAGTCATTGGTGGGGTGGGCGAGTAGATTCTCGGGATTAAAGAGGGTAGTAGAACCCGAAGAAGAAGGAGGAGGGAGTGATCGATCGTCGGTCTGCTCGGCCAGCCTCAGCAACACGTAACAGGTCTTGCCTAACGTGCTCAAATCGGTCATGTATCCCACCTGGCCTACCGGAGACGGATGCAAGGCTTTTGAGTGCTGGGTCGCTAGGAATAACGTCGTCAGTAACGATTGTCGCGCAGATGGTAAATTGCCAGTCGCATGCGAAAGCATGCTCTTGAGAAACGCGATCCGCGGACGGTAGGTTTCCCAGCGAGAGCTCTCACAAACCGTCTTGATCATCTCCACTAAAAGCTACTCCCCCCATAATTGTTTCCCCATAATGTCGAGAGACGCAGATTTTTTTTAGTGATAATGGAACCCAATGACTTTTCTTGATAGAAAGAGAGAGAGAGAGAGAGATAAGAGACAGACCTGATCAGCCAGCAAGAAATCAGAACGAACGATCGAGATCTGTGTGAGCAACAGATTGATCTCGATTTTGATATCCAACAAGAGTTTGAGATGATCCTGGAACGAGTTAAGGATCGAAGGCAGATAGCCCAGAAGGACAGGACATGCATGGTTTGTTTGGAGCGGGTGGTGGAGATGGGTAAGGTATTGGAATCCGAGGATCAATTGTCGGTCGACTTGTTTGAGTCCTTCTTGTGCATAAATCAATGATTTCGGTCTAAGCAAAGAAAAAATGTTGTTAGTCAAACCAAAATAAAAAGGGAAAGTGGTAAAAGGATGCAAAAAAGGGGGGGGGGAGAAATGGCTGACGATTTTCCATGGCCATCGAAATGGACAGCAAGACTGACGAGATAGGTCAGAGTATACATGAGTTCTCTAGGCATGATCGAGACGAGGAGGTACTGAGAGCCTGGCGAGGCGGGCTCAGAAGGCCTCCAAGTCTCGCTGGGATTCGGTAACTTTGGAGACTTCGGATGATCGTCGAAGAGTCTCTTGCGCGGAGTGGTTGATGAGGATCCGATGAAGCTGGTATTGGTGGATGAGGGTCGAGCCGGTGGACGATGAGATGAAGGGGCTTGTAGATAGATCTAGTAGGATATAGATTTTTAGAACACATCTCTATATTTCCGTCTTGAATTAGGGAAGAAAACAGGGAGAATCGTTGAGCACCTTGTAAGTCCCTTCGGCTTCCCCCTCCTCACGCTCCGGAGAGTCCATCTGTGTTCGGAGATGTTTGAGCCACCATTTAGCCGTCTCAGTCTGTCCGATCGTCGAATGATAGACGACTAAGAGGAGGATGATATAGTGTTTCAACTGTTGGCCGATGGAGATCAGATGATGAGGGGTAGGAGGAGCAAGCAGAGGTGATGATGATGATGATTGTTGTTGTTGTTGTTGTGGAGGGATGGCTTGTTCTTGGATGGGTAGTTTGTCGATGAGTGGGAGCATCGAGCCAAACAGCTGACCGACCAATGCCCATTCGTGTCGATCCATGGCCAGCTTGATCTCGTAGGTCTTACAGGCAACCCATAGTTCGCCATCATTCCTCGATTCGGCGAGACTGATCATGCTCCGTAATGCGGCTAATGCGACCGGGTAATCTTTGGCGCGTTCGTAGGATAGCTGGCAGAGCAGGAGTTGGAATCGGTAGTACCAGCCAACGAATCGTGGATCGACTGTCTGATTTCTTTATAGACATGGACGCGTTTAGGAGGCGTTTTTTTGGTTTTGTATAGAAGGTAGATTGGGCTTACTTGAGTGTGAGTTGGATGGCTCGTTCGATCTGTTTCTTGATCTGTCTGAAGGGTGTTTTGGGGTCAGCGATGAGGATGGAGATGAGAGATTGAGAGAGTGAGAGTTTGAAGGGGGTGAGTGAGTCCCTCTGGCGGGATAGATTGAGTGCATGCTGGATGATCTGGTTGGCTAGTTGGTACTCTTGGGTTTCTGAGATGAGGATCTGGGCCAGTTGAGAGGAGACGAAGAGGTTGAGTTCGATTGGGATGGGTGGTTGGTTTGTTGTTGTTGGTTGTTCGGTGAGAGTGAGGATGGCTCTGAGACAGGCGATGGCAATGGAGATGTGTTTTCGGTAGTCTGAGATGGTTGAGCTGAGTTGTTGATGTTGTTGTTGTTCTTCTGGGTGTTGGTAGTGTAGTTTGCCTAGTTGTTTAGTTTGCCAGCTCGGTCTGATGGTCAGTCTGGGTGTGAGTTGTCTGGCTTGATTCAGGTGTTGTTGGTAGAGATGGAGGAGTAGGATGGGTTGAGGGAGTTCTGTTTGATGTTGTTGGTGGTTCATGGTGGGTTTGAGTTGTTGTTTAAGTAGGAGCGAGCTGGTCGACTCGAGTTTTGGTGTTAGGGTTTGATGGGTGGCCGGCCGCCTGCTGAGCTCATTGTATGCGCCGCCCGCTCCAATATCCAGATCACCAATTAACTGGTTCTCTTATCATCGCAGAATCTCCCAAAAGGGTATATGTATGCAGTTTCTAATCTCAAGACAAGCTGTTGAGGAGAAGGAGGGTCTGCGATTTATGTACAAGGGCGAAGGTTTCTGGCAAAAGCAAAGAACAGATTGTTGGTTCTGTTAAGGCCAGGTGGTGATGATAAGAGTCACAGCAGAGGTTGAGGAGAGGGGGGGAGCACAGCAGTAGGTAAATATTTACATGAGGGGGATGGGGGTGATGGGAATGAGAGTGTTTTAAGGATCGATGGTTTGGAGATCTGATCTGACTGCTGAGACTGATTAAGAGTGCTCAGAGTCCAGTACAACAAGCTTACCAAGTGCCACAAGGACAAGCACCAGTTTCAAGCTTCATCCGACATTGCCCGACAAGCGATTACAAGCCCACACTTCACTCTCCACCCAAAACCATCCCCACCCATCAGAACCAACTCATCAAAACACCCAGCCATGAGCCAAGAACCGATCGATGTCCTGCTGGTCGGACTAGGCGCCGTAGGTAAGCACCTGATCCTACTCATCACAAAACTGCAGTCAGAACAATCACCAATCCCGGCCATCCTCTTACTTAAATAGGCGGCATCTATGCCTACGTCCTCGAGAAATCAAAACGATGCAGAGTCACCGCCATCACTCGATCACTCTACAACTCAATCCAAACTCATGGCCTCACCATCAACTCGGAAAAGTATGGCCAAACCAAACACTGGAAACCGTATCGTCTCGTTCGATCTGCCCAAGAAGCTGTCGACCGGAACTATCGTTTCATCATCTGCTGTGTCAAGTGTTTACCTGATGTGGAGGTAAGCAAAAAAAAAAGAAACTTGTGTCAAGAAATCTACAAATAAATCCATTGATCATCATTACTTCCAAATCATCAGCCTACTTCATCCATCCTCGCCCCATTCTTACTACCCTCTCATCAACAAAAACTGGCATCAACTCATCCTCCACCGACAGTGGTACTGATCCAGTTGAGTTCATCATAAGATTGATCTACCTCCCCCCACCTTTTTTTTTCTGATTTGTCTCTTTCTCGAAGGAATGGGATCGGGATCGAACAATCATTGGCCGAAGCTTTCCCCTTGATTCACATCATCAGTTGTGTAGCATGGATTGGCGCCAACATGATCAGTCCACCACCGGCACCCGAGAAACTCTCGAACCCACAACTCCAGCCGAAATCGATCGGCCCAATCATCGAACATGGACCGCAGGATCGTTTAGTTTTCGGCCTCTATGAGGGCGAAGGTTTCGCCCAAAACTATATCAGTCAACCCCATGACTCTAACCCCGGTCCCTGTAATCGCTACGTCGAGGGTCTTCTGGCTGAAGACGGTTCCCCTCTCACCGGAACCGCTCGTGACTCAAACTTCAGAACGGTAAAGAGGAGGTCAAACTGTTCCTCGAGATCATGACTGCCGGCGGATGCGAGGCTGAAGCTTTAGATTACATCCAACCTGCTAGATGGGCGAAGAATTTATGGAATGGTGCATTCTCGACCATGGTATGTCGAATTTCATATTGACTACCTAATCAGAGATATATTCCTAATCATTCCCCCGCTTTATTTTCTGAAAAAAAAGTGTACATTATCTCGTGCATCAGTAGCTCAATTGACCGCACCTGAAGTGTTACCATACACACTACCAGCGGTCAGAAGAACCATGCTAGAGATTTTATACGTCGGTCGAGCGCTTGGTTATCGAGAGGCAGAATTCCCTGCCAAACTGGTAGATGAAGCGATCAGCTTTACGATCCAACATTATCAAGCCAAGGGGCCCAAGGACCCCAAAACACAAGAATCTAAACCCCAGAGCCAGCCCTCTCACTCCGACCAAAAGCTCAGTTCTCAGTCAGCAACAACCGATGTCTTCGAAGATGATGATGAGGAGGAGGAAGAAGAAAAAGAGGTCGATGAGCTCAAGAAAAGTGGAGCTCCTCCTAAACCTGCGTTCAAACCTAGCATGTTGATCGATGTGGAGATGAATCGACCGATGGAACTCGAGCCGATCGTCGGCGCGGTCTTGGATCGAGCCCGAAGCAAAGCCATCGAGACCCCACGACTAGACCTGTAAGCTCCAGAGGATCATCATCTCTCTCCATTCAGAGTTGGCAAGTTGAAGGTTGACGTTTTTGTAACCATATTAGATTGTACTCGGTATTGAAGGTCTTACAAGAGCAGGCCGTCAGCCAACATGCGGCCAAACTGAAGACCCAACAAGAAGAGCAACATTTGCACCATTGGGCGATGAGGAAGCCATCGATCGGCGGCTCGGGCACCTCGGACAGTCGGCAAGCTTGGCTCGATGAAGTCCAACGACGCGCCCGTCTAGGCGATCAGTCTGAGCCTAACAATCCCCACAACAACAATCATCATCATCATCATCATCATCATTCGGCTCTCATGACCCCTATTAAACCTTCCATCGAAAGGAAGGTTACCGGGAAACCTTTGGCTTGAAATCATCTGCTCCTTCTTCTTACCACTCCTCTCGTTCATTTCAACTTGCACATATAAACTAGATCAGGCTTCTTTTCTTTCTCTCTCTCTCTCTTTTTGTCTTGTTAACCAAATTGCATGTCACGATTTCTCATTCAGAATCCGCAAAACAATAAGAATAAGATAAAATGCAAGATGGCTGTCATCTTTTCTCTCGTTTTTCATTTTCATTATCATCATTATCATCAAAGTTATAGTAAATACCAACAAGGGCATCCTGCAGTGTTTAAAGAGTAAAGATTCTGACAAGCTTAGAGCTGAACCAAGCCCTGATTCCACTTTATCCAAATTGTAGCACTTTTCAATCAAATGATTATATGTGTCTGACTGGATCCTCTTGTCTGTAGCCTCCGTCTGGGGGGGTGATCTCCCCATCGGACATCAGATCCATTTCTATCCTCGTCCCTTTGAGTAGTCATTGAATGAATATTGTTACTGGTCTCAGATCATTTCTCGCTTGCCTAGGCGATATTTGAGTGCTTGAGGTTCTCATTGAATCACTGGTTAGCCCCATTACCGTCAAATTCTATGGGCCCGTGTTCTCAGTACAATCAAATTGGATCTCCCAAGGGAGTCTGACTCTAATTGTTTCTTGCGACGGTAAGCTTACTAAAACCTCAAAGCAGATATAATTTTGGGTAAATGGGAATAAAATACTGGCGTAAATAAATGCGGGATATGTGCAAGTGAAGACAGACTTCAAAGAACAAAAGAAATCACATTGAGAGCGAAGATCAAGAGTTTTCGGACAAGTTTTCGATCCTCGAGAGATGGTCAAGGTTTTCATTCAAAGGCTCAAGTAATACTAAAGGTTGATGATGACGAGCTTTAGGATCCGCGGTTCCGAGAGAATAGTCGACGGCACGTTGGAAGAATAGTTTAGCTACTTGACATCCAGTTTGAGCGGCCTGATGATCAGACTGAGGGAGATAGCACCAATCGAAGCTCGACTGGAGATGGGCCGATTTGAGGAGGGAAGATTTGGAAGGACACGTTTCGTATTTCAGGCCCAAGAAGGTCGAGGCCATGGAAGCGGTGAGGCGGACGTCCCGTCTGAGACTTTCGAGTGGCTCTGATAATCGACCGGACCATGATCGGATGAGTCCCGGTTGAAAGACGTCGGACGAGCCGACGTCTCTCTCCAGACTAGATAGGGTCGAGTCCGCAATTTCAAGCGCATGTCGACATCGGTCGACGATGGCTCGATCAGTCATCTGCTTGACAGCTTGTCCGATCTCCGAAAGATATACCGCCGATAGAGCCGCCCGACTCCCCAACCAATGGTAGTGCAGCCGAGCATCGGCAGAGTGACTGCTTTGATCCTCCTGGGTTTTGATGGCCGAGCTCACGAATTGATCGATCAGATCCTGGATCGCAAGGGCCTTTTGCATGTCCACTGAGACCAGATGAACAGAGAGGTCCAGAAGAGAGGAGATCGTCTGCCGCAAGAGCGCGGGTTTGAAAGCTGGCTCAGACGTCGTAGGTAGGCCAGATAAGGTTCGTAGTTGTTGTGAGATCGGTTCGAGATGGGAATCCAATGCGCTGTTGACAGGAGAAGAATCACCAGACTTGGCGGCTTGTCGATCCAGTTGGCCGAACACGGTTGACCAGACCGAAGGTTTTGAGGCTTGAGATTGAGCGACGGATTGCAATCCTACAGGGTGTTCAAGGCTTGGTTCAATCCCTAGGCCCCGTGTGACCGCCCAGACTAGATAGTTTTCGGCGGCTTGCTGATGGAAGGTCGCGCGGGATTCATCGACTGGTCGTTCCAGAGCGGCAATCTTGAGCCCGATTTGTGCCAGATGATCGGCAATCCGAATGGCTTGACGGACTGGCCAGTCCTTCGAGGTCTGACCCGGGGGGTCGAATCGATCGATCGAATCCACACATGATGTCCAGAGCTGAGAGTAGATCTCATACGATTTCAGCAGACTTGTTGGGGTGTTGATTCGTTGACAGATGTGTGCGAGACGAAGTTGCAGTTCGAATAGGGAGCGATCTTCGAGTGTCAAGCCAGCCTCTTTGGCCATCAGGATAGCCTGTTGAAGACGAGATTGCGAGATTGCATAGGCCGAGTCGATCAAGCGACCGTCTGTGAGATGATGATGATCAGGTTGATCAGCGTCGACTGCGAGTTGTCCGGACTGCCAATTCTCGGCGACCCACGCGGCCCGAATGAGGGCTCGGATCCGCCATCCAAGTCGAGGGTCTGTGCCTTTGCCGAGATGTGCTCCACTCCAGCCCTCGATCTGGTCGTCCCATCCATACCAGCGATCCTCCTCCTTGATCGATTCTTGAGCAGGGCGCGGGAGTTCGAGATGTTCGACCCAGAGATGGAGGCCGAAGAAGCCGACGGTCGCACTGATGCCCAAGCCAAGCCCGCCATAGACAACCGCCCTCAGCACTAATCCGATCCGTCGAAAGGCCGAGACGGCTTGCCCTTTGGCATCTTCTGGCATCGGCTCTGCTGGCCCACTCTTCAGTCCTCCCTCGATCGAGGCGAGGATTTGTCGATCATCCGTCTTCTCTATCGTCGAATATCTGGCTGGATATCTTCGCTCATTCAGGACTACTCTCGGTCGCACTGTCAGGCCTGATTTCGCTCCCAGTTTATATCCAATCCGGCTGGTCAACATCGGGCGGATGGAATGGATTGATCGGATTGCGAAGTTCGTCCTCTCTTCGTCTTGTACAAGTTAGAATGTAAAGCAGGTTCTTGAGTGAGTTTTCTTCTCTTTAGCTCACACCTAGAACACATCACTTACATCTCGTAGACAAACTTGTTCCATCTCACTGATCGAGCTTGACTTCCAGTTATTGTGATCCAGTCGATTGGATTCGGGTGAGGCCCCGGAGAGCGACAGCTTACATAAGCTGGATGTATGCATATACATATTTCCTCATCCTTCCCCGCACTCGCACTCTCCTCTCTCTCCTCCTCCTCAACGTCATGCCTCATCCTCACAATCTCATCAACCCGTCTCGAGCCAACCACCAGGACAAGCAAGCAGCAACCGAGCAGGACTCATCGGAACTGGAGATCTACCAACTCAAACCACCCGACTGGAGATTACCCACCCAGCTTAACCGCCCCGAGCTCGGCTATCCAGGCCTACATCCCACACACCCTGGTCAACATGAAGATGCAATCACGAAGTCGTTGGTCCAATGGGGTTTCTCCGCTCAAATGCTCGTCTCAGTTAGTCTCTTCTCTTCTTGAACTCATCTTGGTTTACTTCTCGGGAACAGTTACTGATCGTCGCATTGGCTCTCAACTCATAGACGGAATCATTCTCAGCACATCAGATGATCTATAAGAAAATCACTGATGAGGCCGCTTTCAACGTCTCCTCATCCGCCCTTGCGGCCCTAATCGAGGCCAGACGTAGGTATTGTGCCATTAACAGCTAGTAAGTCCGTCTTTTACCATTATGATCCCCACAAAAACAAATCACCCATTTTTAATTCTACCCCTCGCTCTTCTGTTGTCACTTTAGCGACACCGAATCGACAATCAAAGTGCCTGGACGAGTGACGTTAAACGAACAGAAACGGGAAAACTGGCTGCGCGAATTGGCCGACAGCTCGGTGCCTCTGTTGAAACTCTCTAAAAACGTCCCCCATGGGTTCAAGGGTGAAAAGCTGCTGGAGATGTTGGTCAGTCGCAAGATAGATTCTTCGAGGGCAACCTGGTACATTCGATTGATCGGATTAAATGAAATCGTGAGCTCATGACTGTTTAGAAACCTTACTCTCGATCCTAATCGACCTGACCTGAGCTGACTCTATTTTTATTTCATTTTATTGTAAGAATGCGCAAAGAAATAAGAACGAGCTCAGTCACATCCGATACACACTTTCGTTTACATCTGATGTGTGCCAGTTTCTTCAAAAGCAACTTGCCGAAGTCACCGTGCCCTTACAAACCAATCTATCCTCATCTACTACGAGCTTGATCACCACCAGTAGTCGCCTGGCTGCAATGAATGTGAGAAGTAAGCCGAGGTCGAGCACTCTCTCTGATCCCGAGACACGTAAACATTGGGTTGCCAAATGGAATCAAAGGTAAACTGTTTCTTCCTTTTATCGCTCTTATTCACATAAACATCTCTTCAACTGACACGTTCCAAAATTATTAGTCGCATGCTCTTAAAACGATTGTATTTCGAGTCTTTGCTCGATCAACCCACGTTTTTTAAATGGCTGATCGATCAGTTGAGACTCGCCAACCTCGCCCAAATTAACTTCTTGCTCGAAATCCATCATTCGGTGCTCGATCGCTTCAACTTATCTTCCAACTTAGTCAGAGGCTTTGTTGAAGCTTGTTTGTTTCAGATCCGCTTCGTGAGCATTTATCGCAACCTCAGTCCAAGATGGTGCTTATCTTTTCTAACACTTTTTTTTTTTTACTTTGAAAGATTACAAAACAGACTGCAACTTTGTTTCTGTCAAAGTTGGAGCGTAGGCTCAAGCTGGCTGTTCAGGTATGATTATTCCCCTCCGATCGAATACTTCCACCTGATCAATCTGACAATAATTGTTTTGAAACCCGATCACAAACAGAGTGCCTTCATCTTTTGCCCCGATAATTTCGTTTGGCCTGACATATGGATTTCCAATAAAGTTTTACTGGAAGAGATTATATTGGCGAACTTTCCACGAAGTACAGATGACATCAGCTCTCTGAAGCACAATTCTCAGACAAACCAACTCCGGGAAATCTTGAAAGGTGATTTTTATGCCGTCAATTGGAGAGTAAATGAGTTGATTGGTGATGTGGGCGTTGGCACTGGGATTGTTGGAAATATTTTTAGGCGACGTGTGCAGTTAGTCGAGGTAAGCCATAAACATCTTTCTATTATTCACACATCGGCCTAGCTTGCATTTGCGATGACTCACGTCAAGCGAAAGATCCTAGATAGCTATACAGATTACAACGATTGCTCGAAGCTTTATTATAAGTATTTCCTCAACCCGTCGGTGGCAGGCCATATTCCGGTGTCATTCAAAGACAAGCTGGAAGTGTTGCTCTCCTGGGCAACGACCCCCTTACGGACCTCTGACAAAAGAGTTCACTTGGTCGCCAGTACGCTCTCATATGTTAAACACGATTACAAGAAGAATGGAGACGAGTTTCAAAACATCCTCGTTGGCTGGTTGGAGCAGATCGAAAGTATCGAAGGGGGCGACTTGTTGGTCCGACTGTTCTCCGAACTTTCTCGCCGGAATATCTTCTCCTATGGCGCTTATGTTCAACGAATGGTAGCCAAAGGTGAAACTGAATGTGACATCGTCGCAGGAAAGGTAAATCCACTCATTCTAATCCACTTACAGGCAGGCTTGCATTTTGAGCGTTGGGGTTTTTCAATTTCTCTTGAATCTTAGGCAAGTGGTTTGCAGGCTTTGCTGAGCGAATGGATGCCATTGGCGTCATCCAAGTCATCCAGAGAGCGAAGCAGTTCCATCAAACGCTCACCCGGTCGTGACTCCGCGCGAAATGGACTGATGGCTATCATCGCTGATTTTAATTCCGCTATAGGTTCGCAATGACAAGTGACATTTTAAGAGCTGAACCTCAGGCTAATTTCCAAGTGGTTTATAATACACATTAAAAAAACCCCTTATTGTCCTTTCAGCTTCTGCAGATTACGGAAGATTCACCTCACTCCTCAAACGCCGACTTGATGTTCGACAAGCAACTTCAGCTAATAGAAAGTTACTCGCCGAAATATTACCTAACGCCCTCGTCCACCTTGTCAGTGAACTAACATTTCCGAGTGTTTCGGGATCAGGTTTTCTAGTCAGCAAAACTGCCAATCACCCCCAGATGGCATCTGCCCTACTCACCTGGGGAATCCAACTTCTTGAAGCCTGCCAGGCACATGCTACACTCTTTGAGATTATGCAGAGAATCGTTCAAATCGATTTGGGTCGATTGGAAGCTCTGCGGAGCGACGAGAGAGCACGCGCTGACCTCAGTCCCTCGTTTCAATCCACCCTGCATTACCTTCAAGTTATCTGCATGACGGCCTCTAATAACAAGGAGATTCTGGAGATCAACGGACAACTGGCCGATTTCATATCCCGATTGTTTGCTATTTATGTTCACTTTCGACGCTTGATTGGGGGGACATTTCCGGTTCTCCGTGGGTTCGTCCGATGTCTAAGAAACCTTGTAATTGAAAGTAATGCGGTGGATAGCCAAATTTTGGAAGTTCTAGACAAGGAATACCATCCTATCTTTGATGTGCGCACGCAAACCCTACTTCTTCATTTTATGAGCGAGCTAGATTTACTGATGTTCGTATGATATACACCATAGGAGATGATGACGGGACCTTCTACTGGGGAGACGTTACCCTCTCGTACCCGAGAGATTTTACAATTGATTCAATGTCCTTCAGCAGCACAGGTTTCGCAGTTAGTACTCAAATATTGGGAAGAATATCGATCGGACATGGATTGGGGAGCAGTGCTGTGGAACTCATTGATAGCTGCAATCAAGATCCATTCCCAGGAAGAATTCGATGAACCCCTCTTGAAAAACATCGGTGAAGGCGTCCAGAATCCGTACGAAAATTGGGCCCACTTTCGGGAGATAATCATGCAGTTTTGTGAAGATCTCGACGTGCTCTATGAAGAGGGATTAATTGGTTGTCTCATCAGAGCTGGATATGTCAACTATCCTCATCCAGACGATGAAGCACTATTTTCCCAACCAGTTCCTACCTCTGATGTCAAAATGACATCTGAGGAGGAGGAAGGCGAAGAGAGTGAAGAGATAGTGATGGGGGGCCCAAGCCTGAAATCTCTCTTCTTTCACAATCAGCGGTCTCTCTGTCGAAACATTCGTCTTTTACTCGTTGAGCTCATGTCTTGTGGTCTGATCAGCATCGAAGTCGGCCTCGAAGAATATGTGATACGTCCCCTGGCTGATGACGTACCCCAGCTGTTGGTGAACCTATGCGGAGATAATAGTTCTGATACTCAACGTGCATCTCATACGACTCAAGCAGAGGAAGCATTACGTCAAGTCAAAGAGATCTATGAACTCGTCAACGAAGCCCTTTGCGAGCAGCAGGTAGATCGACGTGCTTTTGTTTCACAATCTCCAGGCAAAGAATCCGTGGTGATGATGACCCCGTCACACTCTCGCTCGGACGGTCACTCGAGTTTCACAAACCAAGGTACCCCCGAAGTTTCATTCAAATCGAAAGATGTAGAACACGCGATTGAGGAATACGTTAGAGCTTGGAAATTGCACGTCGAACGGAAGCTCTGGTTCGAGCAGAGTGATGAGGGATCGGCATTTTGCAGTCGTCTGCTATTATCCTTACTGATTTCGATCAAAACCGTTTCGGAACTTTCCTTCGATCCTGATGGCCAAGAAAACCCCAGCAGTCAACAACAAGAGTCGTTCGAGCAGCTGATCACCAAAATCCTGGATGTCTTTGAAAGTCTGCGTGGTACTGTTTGTCGAGGCTCGAGCCTCCTTCGACGTCAGATTCCTGCTCAGTCTGCCGTGTTCTTGAATCCGATCTTGGAATTTGTTAAACAGAATGATTTGGGTACCATCTTTCACACAAAGTTAATTCATTCGATCGATGAGCTGTTACCCTATTCCCAGCCCAGTAAGTTAATGCCCATTTGCCCGCTCCCTCATTCTGCCCGTTATCGTTTGGTCTAAATGCTGACGTTCTCCCCCTGTGATCACTGCAGTTGACCTTGTCAATCAGAAGTATCCTTACTTAGAATCCATCTTCAAAGCAACTTGTATTTTTAATCACGCGGCTCGTACCAGACAATTTCAATTGCACATACGTCTTCTGATGTCAAGTAATCCTCCTCAGATGTCAGCCAGCAAAGAAGCATCAGTCGATCTGGCCAGTACTCTAGGATCACTTGTAGAAGTGATGGCTAAGCGACTGCATTTAACCGACTCGAAAGATGCTTCACCCTTCTTTTTAGAATGTCTTCCGGCACAGGTGGCTGAAGCTGTGAGTTATTTCTCAACTTATCCGTACAAACCAATGGCTTGATTTAAATCTTTGATACTCTTCATATTTCTCACAGTTGATCATCAAATTATCGTTGTATTTGGGCATGTCAATTTGTAAACTACTCGGACCCAATCCCAGCGACTCGGCGCTCGAGGTTCTTCGGATCCACCACATCTCCAGATGTATTACCACCCTGACCAATCAGCTCACTATCCGAACATACCAATCCAACGACGATATAACAAGTAAGGTGGTCGGCGGTTCTGGACCACTCGGCTGCAATGCGACGGTTGAATCTTACATGTCCTATTGGCAGCAGTTGAAATCGGGACTGTCACTTCTCAACAACCGGCTCACTACTTCTGACCCAACCACGCTGAGCCCCAAGCGCCTGGAATATCGGATCATCCGCGCTCTCTTACACTCCATCCAGGTCATCCTTTGGTCATTGCCCGGACTGACCCAGCATCTAGGAGCCCTCAAACAGATGATTGCTGAGATTTGGATCGAAATTGCACTGGTAAGGTCAAATTCAAATCTCTTCTTGGCGTCCACATACAACTCATTAAGATTTAGTTCCTTGGCTAACCCATCCATCAACCTTTTGCTTATTTAACACCTAGCGGGTCCAAGGTGACTCTGCCTTACAGAATCAGATTATGGACACTATCAGTGTCCTACTTTTTCCTACAGGTTGAGTGATTTCTCTAAACTTGACATGTGAAGGTCGATCTACCTCTTCTAAAACAACAATCATGTTTTCTTTGACTCTTTTACGGATAGTCCCGGATGATTCCTGCCTAACAGCAACAGTAGGGATACTTCGGAAACGATTTCGTTGGCTATATCTGCCGATTCTCAACTTGGATGATGGGTCCAACTTAGTCCCAAGCAATCGACTGAAATATCTTCTTGGCTCTTCTCTCCGTGGCTCCAGTACGCTCTTTCAAGAGCGACTTGCAGATGGAGCAGTGAAATTTGTGGAGGAGAAACCGTGGGAAGAGTTGGAGAAGATGGATCTCTCTGGGCCTGGGTTCATCAGCATCGATGCTTTGAAGTGTCAGACGTTGAGCCATATCGAGCAGATCCCTGAGCCGAAAAGAGTGGTGAGCAGACCGCCGAAATCCAAGCGTGGAAACGGCGATGGAGAAGAAACGATGGCAGAGGACATCGAACCCGGTGGTGAAAGAGGGTCTGATCAGCAGATGGCAGGCGCACATGCCTTGGAAGAAGAAGAAGAAGAGAATGAAGAAGAAGAAGAAATCATTCGAGGTGAACGTCACTGCTTTGAACACGAGCTGGCGACGGATGGGCTATCAACGATGCCGCTTCATTTCCTAAGATCGCTCTTCCCACCCGCAAGTCGACTAACCGGGGGAGATTGGCAAGTAACACAGGAGCAACAGAAGCTTCTCCAAACCCATCAAGCCGAACAAACTCGCATACAGCAACAACAACAGCAACAACAACAACAAGGCTCCTCGATGGAAGTTCAGGCTGAGCCGGAGTCTGGTCGGACTAGGAAGCGCAAGGGCTTGGGACTCTCGCCCATGCCCGTCGATCTTGCCACCTCTTCGTCCTCCGGGCCCACCCTGCGCTCCGCTAGAAGCACTCGCAAGAAGAGCTCCGCCGCTGCCCCGGTCAATCCCCCTCCGACTACTGCCTCTACCTCCAAACGTGCTAAGAAACGTTGACTTGCTTGGGTTCATCATCATCCCTCAATCCGTCCCCCTCGTCGTGTGTTTTTCGTTATGTCGTAGTCTTGTATCTCTCCTCGGCCCTCTTGCTCTATTCTGTGTATGTATTGGTTGGCTTTCATACTTCCTGCTCGCCCCGTCAATTGGTTCATGTTCTAGTTTAATCTTGTATTCATTCACGACTTATTGCACTATACTTGCCAGTCAATAATAGCTCCAATTCCTGCATCCATGTTGGATGTCCTTAGCCGCCGCAGTACTTTTGAGTGCATTCTTGATCAACTCAGCGCAGCTGAAACAACTTCTTTGGATCTTGTTTTTTTGTTTTTGCATGTATATTTTGGGGATCTGGAACTATGGTTCTACGTGTGTGTGTGTGTTTTAGCTTTCTGGGGACATAAGAAGGGGGAATTGCTGAGTAAAAAATCGATGGGGAGAATGATGGATATACAAGACAATCCTGATTGGTGTGTCTCCTGATATTGGGGAAATGAGTTGATTGTTGTATTTTTATGGAGTGGTATTCTTGATGTCTGATGGATCATCCTCCGGGAGTCAAGAGTTGTGTTGCAGTGACAGCATCCCTTTTCCATTGGGAGATGGCATGAAAGGTTGTGGTGTCCAGCTCAGACTCAAAGATCCTGCAAATCGAGGCCGGCTGCTCATTGAGGGGGTCCTGCATCCAATCCCACCTTCCATATCTGGGGCACTCAATCACAAATTCAGGTGGGTTGTGGTGGATTGATCAAGCTGGACTCCCATCACTATTCTTGGATAACTCAGACTGATGTTTGCTCTGAAAAAAGAAACTAATAATGCCTCGGTCTCTGGGCTCTTTACCAGGGCAGGCTTTATGGGCTTAAAGATAATCCTGTGATGACCTGCAAGCAGGGCGAATTTGTCCATAGACTCCAGTTCTTGAGCCCTATGGTGTGATTTCTGTGAGAAGGTGAATGATCATATGAAGAAAATATATGTATAAGACAAGAAAAACAAAATCATAATTTTGACTACCAAATTGTCACTGCAAGCCAACAGAGTCAAACAACCTAGACACAACAGACACAAAAATTGTGCAGGTCCAAACCAATCTCAATCACTGGAAGTGTTTCCACTGGTGAATACAAGGAGGACTGCTGATGTGGTTGGTGGCAAGAAATATGACATCTCTTTCATATGCAACCAAATGGAGCGTGGTGATTTTCCCCATGAAATCCAGGTTAACAAACAAGAGCTACAGGTTGACAGGGTGTTACTTGGATGTACCTTCTTTGCTTCTTCAGTACCAAAAACATTCAAGCAGGCACAGAAATCAAAAAGAGTGGATGCAACGGTGGGCCGCTACACTAACCGTAGCAGTTAGTGTAGCGTAACGCAGCGGAATTGCTGTTAGCGATTAGCGTAGCGTAGCAGAATTCCGCCACGACACCGCTAACGCTACGCATGTGGGCCGCAAAAAAGGACCCACTACCCTGCGCTACAGCGGTTTTTAGCGGTTTTTGGCCGCTTTTTCCGCTAAAAGCGCTGTAGCGCAGGGTAGCGTAGCGAAAAACCGCTAAAACCCGCTAACACTACGGTTTTTGGATGAAAAAAAAGCACCGCTATGCTACGCTTTTTGGGCCAAAAGCGTAGTGTAGCGTAGCGGCCCACCGCTGGTGGATAAACTGAAAAAAAGCCATTGATGAAGAGCTAAACAAAGTTGCAAGACATGTGTGCTTGGTGTGCCAAAGTGATTCTTGGGGGACAAAACCCCCTGAAAGGGCGGTGGGTCTTCACAGAGAAAGTGAATTATCAAGGCATCACTATTAGATACAAGGTGCAGTATTTGGCAAAAGGATTCACTCAAATCATTGGTTTAGACTACCTGGCCACCTTTTCACCAACAGCTACTTTTGTCTCAATGAGACTGATAATAACACTAGCAGCCAAATGCAATTGGAAAGTCCACTCATTTGATTTTGTTGCAGCATATCTAAACAACATACCAATTGATGAGGAGGTTTGGGTCAACTTTCAAGGCGCCAGAAGGTATCGAGGTCAAACTGGGTGAGGCTTTACTCTTCTTACACAAGGCATTATATGGGACCAAGCTCAGGAGACAAGTTGCTGGTGGTTAAACCTGAAAGGGGCTCTTTGTGAACTGGGTTTTCAGGCCAGCCAGTATGACAACAACAGTGGGCCAATAGCAACACTGCAACAAATACGGGATTTGCAATGTATTGGAATGTATTTTTTTTATGTATCATGGTCTTGATGTAATTTTTTTTTCATGACCAATGTGCTTCTATTGAGAGTCTTGTTCATTTAACCTGGCTCTTTGCCATATATGTTGGTACAATTCCTGATGATACAAACTGTGTATTGTATTTGTTGCAGCATTGCCAGTAGCAATGCCTGTCTTGGTAATGCATTGTAAAGTAGTGAAAAATGTGTTACTTTACATGCCTGTGGGTCTATTGACTCTGCAGATTTTCAATAGCAATAACATTGAGTGCTGGAAAAAGCCCTCAATAAAAGCCAATGCTGCAGGCTGTTTGTTACATGTTGAAATTTTGACAGTTTTTCATTCAAAATTAGAGGAAAAGGTAAAGAAAGTTGGCCAATGTGTTACATACTGTTTTTCTCAAAAACCTTGGAGCAATCAATATTTTTTTGGCTTATGGTGTAGTTTTCTGATGAAATACAGATGTATTGTATGTGATGTCAGATACAAAACACAATAGGGGGTATCAAATATAACCAAATCCACCATTATTTAATTGACTGGTTTGAAAAATTCCACCTTTTTTTAAACATGTTGGTTATCCATTTAAACCCTTTTGGGGCCCATTTATGCAAAAAAAGTTTTTGGAAAAGTGACTGGTTTCTGATGGTGGATTTCCTATATTTGATACCCCCTAATATCTTTCTTTGAAGTATCTGAAAAAAGATACAATACCAAAAGATCTGCAGATACTGTATTGGTCTGTATCTGTTTCACCGTTGCTGCAGCAACTGATAACCAGATCTGTTTTCAACTTGAGAGGATGGTGTGAGGGGGCCAGCCCGCTACTACACGGTGTGAGTTTGGAGCCAGGGAGCCTAGCCTGAAATCCCATCAGGATTCCGATGGTCTCACTCTCATGACCTAAAATTGAGAGGGTAAAAAGTTAGCCATTGGATCCTGATTCCTAATATATCCCTGTATGCAAATAAGCATACAGGGTGCAGTACATCCTCTGAGGCTAAAGTCACGTGGCTGATCAGCATCCATTTGATGCTTTCATAGCATCCAATGGACACTTTTTCCCAGAAACCAATCACCAGATGGGCAGGTTTTCAAAAACCCCGCCCCAGGGTGAGGCTGACGTATTGACAAAGGTGTTGACTAGGGAGCCTTTCAAATTCTTTTGTGATAAAATCATGGCTGGTGGCTAGGAGGCAAGAGTGTTGGAAATTAAAAACAGAACTGGGTTACCAGCTAGACTCACATAGCCACCCTTTTAGACCCCTCAGAGCATGTATGTAAACTAATCTTGAGTTCATCTACATGCAATTACACACTCTCTTGAGCATTTCACATTTCCTGTTCCATTACCAAACCCACAGGGCAAAGAAATAGACACATGGGCCTATACAGAATTTCCCCAAAAGGAAATCTTGTAAATTTTAGGGAAATTCTGTAAACATTGAAAAAAAATCTGGATTTTTTGGATTTTCTGAATTTTTAGCTTGCGGATTTTCCAGATTTTCAAATTTGTAGATGCTCTAGATATTCTACATTTTTCAGATTTTTCAGAGTTTTTAGATTTTTTGGATTTTTTAGAATCTTTGGAATTTTTAGAACTTCTAGAATTTCTAGAAGTTTTTAGATTTTTTAGATTTTTGGATTTTTTAAATAAATTCTAAAAATTCTAAAAATTCTAAAAATTTCTAAAATTTCTAAAATTTCTAAAAAGTCCAAAAAATCTAAAAAATCTGAAAAATCTAGAATATCTAGAGCATCTACAAATTAGAAAATCTGGAAAATCCAAAATCTAAAAATTTTGAAAATCCAAAAAATCCAGATTATTTCCCTAAAATTTACAAGATTTCCCTTTGGGGAACTTCTGTATAGGCCCATGTGAGAGGGAGTGGATGTCCTGAGATGGTCCTCAGGACATCCTTGGGTTTTGGGAATTGACCCTTCAATTTTTGGGAGTTGATTAACCAATCCTCAGTATTTATTGCACTATTTTTCCTAAAATTTGAACCATAGATTTTTATTTCCTGACAGCTTAGATATTCCCTTTCAAGTTATTCACAAAACCTCTTTCTCACATATATTCTATTCCTGTCAAACCTTCAACATGAAATCCTTCATAAACTTATCCTTCTAGACCATGGTCTACAAAGAGACAATTCCATTTTTCAACATAATGCTTCCTGTTGGTCAAGTTTCTATTACTTTCAATAATGAATTCAGTTTTATTTTAACACATTCATATGGGGTTTTACCAATTGGGCTATCTCTTTTACATTTTTTTTTCTTTGCCGGTATTCTTTCTTCACATTTAGTGAAGATTGAAAACTTTCATTGGATACTGTTATTTTGATTTTTTTTATTCCAATCTTTTCAAAAGCAATGGTGGGCCGCTACTCTTACTGTAGTGGTTAGCACAGTGTCATGTAGCAGAATTCCGCTAAACCTTAGCGTAGTGTAGCGGAATTCTGCCACATCCACACTAACACTACGCATGCATGCCCCTACAAAGTGCCCGCTACCCTTCGCTAAAGCGCTGGTTAGTGGCTGTTAGTGGCCCGTAGTGTGGTGTAGTGTAGCAAAAGACCGCTAACTTTTTGCTAACACTAAGTGATTTTGGTGCGCAAAAAAACCGCTACGCTAATGCTTTTTGGGCAAAAAGTGCAGCGTAGTGGCCCAGTGTTGCCAAAAGTTGAGTTGGGTACTTGAACCACTACATTTTAAATTCTCCATCTTCTAGGATTTGGATTAATTTTTGAAAGCAAGACAAAACTTGCTCCCTCTTACAATTGGTTTAATCTTCACCTGAACCACTAATCATTTCACATGACATGTTCAAAGGAATTGACTTCCTGATGCCAAAGTTCATAACAGAACTTTGACAAGAATCTAGTGTTGATGCCACGTGCTTCCTGAAACTGGTCATATTTCATACAAGTGTGAGTACACCTAGCAAGGACTTATGATACAAATCATCTGGGGTTTGTATTCACATCTCATGCTTCTCACTATAGTCTCTACTGATGCTGGAAAAGTAGGTAGGCTATGCAGAGATACAACTGTAAGATTGTGCAATACATCCTGACAGCACCAGGGCACTGTGTTGGATCACTGCACAAACATGAGGTTCCCTTGGGTGTGCTAAACCCACCTACCAGCTGTGTCATTTTCCACCTGTAGGATGTGGTTACTACCGTTTCTGCACAGTCCTTTTTTTGGAATGGGCAATGGGTGCGAGAACTCACAGAACCCTTATACTTTAAGTCACGTTCAGGTGGCCAACTCCCAAAAAATCATAAAAATAAATTGTAAGTCTCTCTGACTATCAGTAACAAATTGTAGTAAGGAAACAGTTCTTCTACCAAAAATGAAACTTTGATTGAATGAATCAAGTTGGTTAGATATTGACTAAGCTGCACCAGTTGAGAGAGGTTCAAGAACTCCTCAGAGCAAACACAAAAAGGTAGTTTGAGTGTCCGTGGAGGAACAGTTTGACAAAACCGATTGGTTTCCTTGGACTGCAGCGCTGATTCACTCTAGACAGACACACTTGCATTGACACGCCATGAAAAAAAAAATGCTAAACGAAAGATGAAGACAAACGGTCGGTGGAGAGTGAAATTCCAACATTTTCCACCACTGGCACAGCCAAAAAGAAACTTGACGATGGATTGACTCATAAATTTGCTAACTGATCTGAAGGAATATGAGGGAAGATGAAAGTGTATCATAAAATAAAAACGAAAGTACTCCTTAACGAGCTTGTCTGGCGGGTGTTGAAGTCCCTGAAACCCCATGTCGAGTGAGGGCGTCGTAATGGAAACCTGAACTGTGTTCGGTTAATTGCGGAGCCTCCAATGCCCTATTGGTTGAATCGGATAAGAGGAAACTTGCCATGGAACCTTCGCGAAGCTCCGACTGGTTAGGGAAATAGTCTAAGCAAGGTGAATGCAGTCGATAGCTCGGTGGACTGCCTGCTGGAGGTGACAGCTGATTGGGTGTTCTGGTTCTTGGGAAAGAATCCAAAGCTTGAGGTTGCGAGTGGGAGTCCAAATCAATTTGATGAAGGGGTGGCTGATTTACCCAAGAAGAATCCGAATCCAACGTGCAAAAGTATTGATCTGCTCCCCTGGGACATGTAAACACTCCGGGGTTCAAGTCGGTGGCGCTCATTTCGCTTGGTTCAATCAAACCCTGAGAGTCCGAAAGAGAAAGCAACAGTCCAGTTCCCTGAGAGGGAATAAGTAGATTCTCGGATTTCGTTTCGGGATCGTGGTTGGATTGAAAAGGATATGATGTTGAAGAAGGAGGGTCTGAGAGTGGGGGAGATGATAAGACACCTCCTACATCATTTGAAGTCATTTGGTAAGGTGGTTGCGCGCAATTATTGGATGGGAAGAAAGCCTTAACAGAGGCACCTTTCGTAGGGGTCGAGTCACGATCAATCATGTTGTCGGATTCTGAGGGGTAATAATTGATGGGGATAGACGGTCTTTGTGTTATCACAGGGTGGTCTCTGTTTCCGAAAGGTTCGGGGCCAATGGGATCTCTCGGTTGAAGCTTCACAAAGCCCTGAGCCGGTTCGAGAAAGGATACGGAGGCAGGGGGTTGAAAGGCTCCTGATGACTCTTGACTTGAATTCGTTTGAGAGCTCACGCTGACCGATAGAGAAACCATTTTTATCCTGATGTCTTCCATTATTTGAAAATCGTCGATTGGATACAAACTCAAACCAGCTGACGCAAATCTCCCCAGCGACTCAACAACATCGATTAATTGGTTCGTGATGTGATTTGAATCCGCCGTAGAGGCATTCACAAACTCTGGAAGGGTATTGGAAAAAGCTTGAGCCAAAATCATGAAGCAGGGGAAAAGGCCTCGTAGAATTCGTAGCAGCAAGGCCTCCCCCAACCTACTTGACTGATCGAGGGAAGCAGTGTTAGCTACAATCGAATCCGCACCCTCGACAGAGATTATTTGGAGCAACTTGAGGACGTCGCGGAAGATTGGGAGTGGAATTCTTGTGAAGGTTGTTAGAGTCATTTCTTCCAAAGGTACCAGCCGGCTTAAAGCAAAGATACTGAAAACAACCGCGAGGACGATGTTGGCATGGGCATTGCGGACGTCGTGACGATTGGAAGAGGTCCATCGGCCGGGGTTACTAGGCGGCGAATCGTATGATCCCATGACCTGGCACCTCATCTTGGCTGTGTCCATCAACCATCGAATCAGATAGACCTTATTTTCGTAGAGCAAATCACTGCTGGACGGCTTCGCCGTGGGATCCGGGACAAGTGAATTTGATGGATCTTCTTGACACAAAGTGCAGAACACCTCCAAAATTTGACTGGAATTGAGCAGCGAGCGGTTCGCCCATTCAGTCTGAGTGGTGCTGTCGTTGACGCGGGCGTGGTTCAAAAATGCCTCCAAGTATGAAGGCGATCCGTCTATCATGGCATAGACTTTCCCTTTCGGAAATTTCATCGAGAGAAGTGTCCAAGTTTTATATAAGCCTGCAAAGCAAACCGGTCAGAACTTTCCGGAGATGCCAGCGACATTTTTATGTGGTGAAACTTACACATAAGCCAGTTTATGCCTAGTATTTTGTTTTCTTCCACATCAAGCTCTCCGTTTAGATTTCTTGGACGTTTGAGACGCTTTGCTGGCGACAAATACTCCTTCGAGAGTAAATGCGCAACACTTAGTAATGCCCAACCACATCTGGGCTGAGAATCAACTGAGCGGAAAGCTCCCAGCAAGATTAAACCTTGAACTATCGATAGAGTCGACCTGTTGACACACATTGCCCTTCCCATCAACTGCGCTTCGGCGTACTCGAAAAATGGCATATGGCACCGAGGTGACATATGGGGATAATTATCAGATGTTTGAGGAGACCCGTAGTTGCGGCTGCGCGAGCTCAAGTAGAAATGCCAGCCAACCACCGTGGCTAAAAAGGCGCTATTCTCCGTGAGATGAATGCAGTGTTGGCTGGGAGCTGCATCGTTGAAAAGAAAGGCAAACGGATTTGCACGAAGCCATTGCGAGTAGATCGAATTCAATTCTTGATAGGACAACTGTATCAGAGGGTTGAGTCCCCCTTCAGCCCCGATTATTGACAAGTCCTGGTGACTGTTTTCACCGCGATCGTACTCGAGCATTTGAAGAAACAAGGGCTCCTGAGTACTAAAAGAGCTGTCCTGTCGATCGGACACGGATGCTTGTGCACATACAATCCAAGAAATCACATCCGCCAACATCGTATGATAAAGCTTGGGTTCTAATACACTCGGATGTTTATGAGGAGGGGCTAGAGCTTGAAGTTAGTACATGTCATATCTACATGCGAAAGACACATATTCATCTATTCTCAACAAGACGAAATATGTTCTCACCTGGAGCGTAGCGGTTAGGATACTCTCTGAGGATGAATTCTAAATGAGCTTGCGTAGTGACATGAAGGGTGGTCCCTTTAAAGTGTTGAAATATTTGCCCGGCGTCACAGGTAGAAATGATTTGATGGGTGTTCACCAACGCGTTCGGCCCATGGGATAGTACTAAAGGCGGGGATCGCGCTGTTAAATGATGATCATACGAAAAATGTGGTGAGATGAGATAAAAAAAGGAAATAAAACGCGTTCAGTCAGCGTGTCTTGTGATACATGACTGTAGGGGCCACGTATATATGGAGTGCGAAAATGGGGAGTAAAGATGCTACCTCCGGCTGGATCCATGGAATTGTAGGCCATTTGGTTCTGTTCAAATGAAATTCTTCGGGATGAGCAGGCTGAATGCTGGAATCTCGCTTCATCACACGGAAACTCGGTTGGATTAGTCGAAGCATGGTGAAAATTAATCGAGTTCCCAAGTGAAGCTGCCGGACTGGGGGAACAAAGAATTCGGTTTAAAAAGGTGCCATCGTTCCCACGGGGAATTTGGTTCGAAAGTATTTTTTGGTGATTCAGCGGTATAGGCAGTCCACCCAAGGTAGGCATGAATGGCCGGTTTCGTAACATGTTTACCGAGGGATTGAAATGGAAAGGGGCGCTTCTGTTCTCTTCGTCCAATGGCCTCCACACGGCTGGGGTTGAATTTAATCAAATTTTGTCAGAAAATTTCGCGGAAATAACGAGGTTGATGGTCAATACCTGAGTCGAAACTTCCGGATGGCCCTTGCTCGTATTCATGAGGCTGAAGAGTTCTCATGAACAACGTCGAGTGATTCCACCCTCCTTCAAAGAAATGCGAAGATGGATGGGAGTTCAGATTCATCGGCAGGGGCGCGTTTGGATCTTCGCAATACTCTGTCCTAGGGTACTTCCGAGGCCGACCCATAGCAGCGGTTGGCTCGTATACACACTTCTGGTTGCGGTTTCGACAAGCTAAACAACCAATATCTGTCTCTCCGGTGCAGCGTATTTTCCTAGACTTGAATTCAAAAGTAATGAAAGCCCCATTTGATACATCGTCAATTTCAATCACCCGAGAATTTTTAGAAAAGGATTTGCAAAACGATATAACAGGTCGTTGATGAAGGGAAAAGGGAAGTTCATCCTTGGACATGAGCCATCAAAAATTGTTTTCTTTTGGTGCGAAAGACCTCGAGCACAACAGGGACCGAAGAGAAAAGAAAATAAGAAGCCATGTGGATGGAGGGTAGTGATGAGACGTTTAAGTCATTAATGGGAAATCATCTATCAACCAGAGTAAACCATTTTTCATTCTGACAGTCAAGTCCTATGTTGCACTGGAGTGCATGGGCGATCCGGTGTCCGAGTTTTACGACGGACTCACTTCAGCCCCTTGTGCATTCGCAACAAAAGGAATCATCCCCGTGTGACGCAAGGCAATGACCAACCAGGTGATAGAATCAAGGAGAAAAATGGGGAATTATGGGAGGCTAGAAAACGATGGAGGAAGAGAAAACAATATGACAAACCCTACAAAACCGGCAAGATTTGCGCAATTGCCTTCCGCTGGGCAAATCTCCCGTCAAGTTAGCGATGGGTTCGGAAGCGGTGTGCTGAGACAGTAAAGGTTGATCTGCCATGGGCTCGAGATTCTGGCGGGTTTTTTTAAAGATAGTCGAGATCGGAGCCAACTTCCACGAAAGCACTCCGAATCCTTTTTTTTTCTGGAGCTAAGGCGACGGAAGGTTGGGAAATGACTCTGATGGAAGGTTCAGATCTATGAGGATATATGGAGGGGTAGTTAAGCCTTTGAAATAAACACTTGGACGACAGACGTTGCGAATTGAAAATTTTCCACAATAGAGAGAAAAGTCCTTGGAGGAATTAAGGCTCCACCATTCAATCCCGCGTTATTTTAAAAAAAGAGAAACCACGAATGGAGAGATGCTAGTAGAACGTCTGTGGACAAATATAACGCTACCAGTTATGGCGGATGATTTGACTTTGGCTAGCTTGTGGGCGCCGGGGGTACGACACGGAGAATTACCAACCAAAATTTGTAGTGGAGATTCATAGAGCCTCATCCAAGCGCTGAAACAGAGAGGCACGTCTGCATGCAATCGTGGTCGGCCAACCTACAAGTCGGGCCAGTGGCAAATTTAACGCGGAAAAATAGCGCACGCAATGGTTGGGGCCAGTCAAAGCTTGCTGTATGATGGGGGGGATGAGGACTGAAAAATTAATGACTGAGTAGGGCTGGGGAGTATTTTGATGACGGTCGGCGGCCGATTTCGGTAAATCCTGACTCAGTTGGTTGGGCAAGATGGAGGAATGGTGGCCTACATAGGTCGTCTTGGCCTGCACCCGCCAACAGCGCTCGTCAACAGAATTTTCGGCTGAGTTCTGAGGATCAGGATTCCCCGAAGATCTCTAAGGCTTGAGACATAAGAAACCCACAAAGCTCTGGCTTTTCCGTCCCGAAGATGTTTAAAGTCTGTTCCGTTGGAGTGCCTGCCGAGCTTGTGGGTGGGCAGGCACTACGGGATGCGCAAAGGCCAGGCAGTTCAGACTTGGAGAGCAAATCCAATAATTGATCATCAGAGCTCAGCTTCCATGGAAAACCTTTGGTGCGGCAGAGTGCGTGTAGGGTTCCTTAGTGAAAACCTATGTATGTACTATAGCTGAAGGCCAAAACGACAACATTTGTAGTTTGGCTAGCTGGTATGGTACGAAATCACTGCCAGTTTTGACGATACAACCAGTGATAATTTGGGGTCTGCGCTACGCACACTGTGAAACTTAAACTGAGCCGAGCTTACTGACGAGTGCAGCTGAACTTGGCTAGAGACACTATCAGAAGTGAAGGGGCCGCGACTTAGCTAAGTTGGTTCTTCAAGGGAAACTGGGAAGCTAGACAGAGGTACTACCATTGTTAAGCCATTTGTTCCATGGGGATGGCATCTAATCATCTACTATCTAGCAGAGCTGCTCATTCTGCCTGCCAATACATATGTATCTCTCGTCAACTGAAGCATCAGCAACGAAATCCAACAGGGGATATGACCTGATATGACTGAGTGTGACTGCATAGGACCAATCCCGAAGTCCACAAAGTTTGTCCCAACCATAGATAATATATACGAGTTCAATCTAGTGTATCATGTACTGCTACACCGAGATATTTAGAGTCATCGATGTGGACCCCTACGACCCCCAAGGTATGTAAGCTGCAAATGAAGGGCGCAGCGGGAGGACTATCGGCCAACTTCGGTGGTCAGGCTTTCTCTGGATTCTGGTTTCTGTCAGAAGGCTCGGCCAAACTGGAATCGCCCTGCCTCCCCCATCAATTCGGTCAACGCTAGACGCTCGGAAATATCAATATAAACCCTTATAGTTTTTACACCTTCGACCCGAGCGATCAACTCCTAGGATTTTTTTTCTATTTATTTTGTTTGCAGTGGTGCGCTCCTCATCACCTGTGCGATCTACTTCAACTGTATCAACGCACCACCTGTACTACGCATCCCCCCCTTTTTTTAATCTGGCTCACTTGAGTGCCCTGTGAATAATTAATAGCCGTATATGAACTCTGGGTGAGCGCGCAATGATTTTGAAGACACCGGTGGTATGTGTCGGGTGTTCGTCCGCTCAAACGGCGAGGAATTGCATTCATTCATTCGTCTGATTGCATCGATGGCCACACAAATTTCAAATAACTGGAGCGGAAACTATAGACTGTAGTTCACGAAAAACACAGCGGCTTCTTTTTTATGTCTGCTACTTTTTCACAAAGATCTTTTGAAGGATTCCAATTTCCTTCTTGGAGAGCTGGTACAATTTTGGGGAGAAATTCTCTTTGGCTGGAGCTCACCTGCAAGACAACGGTCCACTACTCAACCACCAACAGGTTTTACACCTCAGCCAGCTGTTGGCAGACCGTGCCGGCGGCTGAGGGGGTAGATTGAGGAAAATGCAAAGTCCCTCATTGGCAGGATCCCTGGGGGATGGCAGCCCTCCTTCAAAGACGATCTCCTCAAATTGCAAAATGGAGAAGCAACCAATTGATCACAACCAGCCCAGACAAAATTTTCATTGATTCACCTCACAAATTCAAAGAAGGATTTAGGAAATCCGTTACTGTGTTGTCATTGGAATTGTTTTTGAGGTTTGATTTTGCATTGGCTTTGTTGATTTTTTATTTTTTGCAGAACTACAAGTTGGAGTGGTCTTCTGGGTTGAACAGATGGGAATTATGAGTGGATCAATGTGTTAATCCATATTGGTGGGATCTGTGGAGGAGTTGATGAAGGGAAATCAATTGGGAATTGAATTAAGGCAGCCAGGACAAGTGGGCAGTGGCTGGCAAGCAAGATGCCAAAGCTAACAGGTGGAGTCACTCCCACTTGACCGGAAGGAACCCCTCCTGGTCAGGGAGGAACCTAAACCTCATCAACCGGAAGGACTCTCCTCTGGTTGATGAGGAAGCTAAACCTCATCAACCAGAAGGGATTCCTTCCAGTTGATGAGGTAAATCTTCCTCATCAACCAGAACAAATCTCTTGCGGTTGACAAGTTCAATCTTCCTTATCAACTGGAAGGAATCCCTTCCGGTTGATGAGGTAAATCTTCCTCATTGACCGGAAGGAATCCCTTCCGGTCAATGAGGTTTAGCTTCCTCACTGACCGGAAGGGGTTTCTTCCGGTCAAGTGGGAGCAACTCCCAAACCCCCTCATACATGAGGGGTGTTTTGGGAAGTTGACTCCCAAAAAAAATAATAATAAAAATAATAAAAAATGAAAAGGAAATTGGGTGGGCAACTCCCAGAATCCTCCCTCACTTTAGAAGACAACTTCCAACAAACGTCCGCTGATGGTTGTTGGGAGTTGTTGGCAAAAAAATGGGAGTCTCTTTTCCAAGCCCCTATTTGATATCCAATAACAGATACAAGAAAGTTTCAAATTTGTGAAAAATGATTTTTTTTTGGGGGGGGGGGGGTTGGATTGCTGAGAGAAAGGAAGAATGATTATAAATATTTTTTTGTAAAAAAATGGTTACCAGAAACAGCTGTGGAGTGGGGTGTTCACCAACCCCCATTGTGGTAAGAGCAACTCCACTGCAGCTCCTATTTTTGGGCCATTAAAATAAGATTGTTGGGACTGCAAAGACAGCTTTTCAAGTGATGTGGCATACACCACAAGAGTATTTAAAAATCAGGGAAAGCATGAGTGGTGTGAAGTTTGAACAGATTCATATTGAGGTAGTAGAGTTTCACAAGCTGGTTGTTATGTGAAAGGGGATTGGGCAGTCAATAGAGGAGTTGCTAGGAATCCCTACATGGAGGAACTTGGGTACAAAATTTAGGGAAAGCTGTTGATTTGAGACACAAATAGCAGCCATGTACAAACAGTTTTTTTGAAATTCTTTTCAATTGTTTTTGACTTTATTTTTTATGTTTTTAAAATAAAATGATAGTCACAAAAGATCCCAAAAAAACTCAAACAAGATGCAAAAGGATTATAATGAACCTTGCAGTCAAACTAAGTGAGGAAGAGAGGGGAGGTACCTGCAGCACCTGCCAAAAGTACCACCGGTACCTGCCGGGAGGTACCTGGTGCGGTACTTGGTACCTATTTTCTGAAAAAATCCAACAGGTACCTAGGTACCAACAGGTACCCGAGTACAAACAAATGATCTCTAGCTTAGGTGTGCAGGCCCACACTCCTGTTCTGAGGTTTCTGTTCATGTATATATAAACATCTTTTTTCTTGCTGCTGTTGGTATGTTGAATTATTTTATTTAATAACTGTCCAAATGAATTCAGCTGTTGAGTGATCAGGTAGTCTCTGCTACATACTAGAGATGGCCTTGGGGTACCCGGCACCTGCTGGTGGGTACCCCCCCTAACCCCTGATGTACCTGCCAAGTTGTGGGGGTGCAGTACTAGTGCTGCTTTGGGCAAAAGCAGCAGTACCTGTACTTTCAGGTACCCGCCCGAATCCCCTTCTCAGTGGCTCTACCAAGACCAACTGGTCTTGGAGAGGTTGCTGGAGAGGACCCCTCCTTGGCAACCTGCTTAATACCAATCAGGTTGCCAGTAAGTACCCTCCTTTGCAACCTGATTGGTCTCAACCAGGTTGCCTGGAAGAATCTCTGGCAGCCAGGCGGTACCCGCCTCAAGTACAGCCAGACAGCAGCGGGTGCAGTACCTGGTGCCGGCTTTTGGCCAAAAAAGCAACCGGTACCCGGTGTTGTGGTCAGAATCCTTGGGTGTGTCTGCTCCTCCGTGTCCTCCTCTTCTACCCCCGACACTCCAAATGTAGAGTTTGCACACTCACTACAACACCCCCCCTCAAACTCCACATGTCTACAAGAAAACTGAGACTGAGATCAAGAGAATCAAAGAGCAATGAAGAAAGAAAACTGAGAGTAATAAGAAAAAATGTGATGATAAGAATAGATAAACAGAGAGATTACCATTAAGGCAGAAGGCAGATAGCTGAAAAAAATGTAAAAAATTGAAAAAGAAATTGAAAAAAATTGAAAAAAAAAATTGAAAAATGAGATATGAATAAGAGTTAGAAGGAGAAAAGAAATATAAAAGAAATGAGGCATGAAATAGATTGAAAGATGTTTTTTTTTTACTGAAATATTTTGC